TCACCACCATTGGGCCTGGTCAATGGGCGGGCCTGGTCCTTATTAAATCTCCTTGAGTACTCTTTCAGTGTATGCCATTTGATGCACAAGGATTCCATTATTCACGTACTCAGGTTGTAATCCCAAACAGAACTTAATTATTGCCTAGGTCTTTCATTTCAGATTCTTTCTTTAGATATACTCAACTGTTTGGTCGATTACCCAGAGGTTTAAATCATTCATATACACTGCTATGATTACAAATCCTTTGTTTGCAAACCTCTTGATAAAAATACATGGACTGATCGGATCGTTTTTATAGCCTTCTCTGATGAGATATTCGCTTAACCGGTTATACCACATACGTCCGCTTTGTTTCAGTCCATATAAGGATTTGTCCAGCCTTATGCAGTGTTGTTCTCGAGAATCTTTCTTATCTTTGAGCTCAATACCCTCTGGTAATCTCATATATTATCCAGTGGACATATATAAATATGCAGGCATTACATCCATTAGCCGCAAATCTTTCTCTTTTATATAGCCAGACTTAGCAAAGATTTAAATGTCTTAGCATCCACCACAGGGGAGTATATCTCCTCTATTTCTGGTCTTTGTGTGAATCCTTGTGCGACAAGCCGTGTCTGATATATCACGCTTTCACTATGTTTATTTCACATAATCACAAAGACTCATTTGTCCCACTGGCTTTACATTGAATGGTGTCCTTCGTATTGGACCAAACACATTCTTCTTCTTAATGATTATTAGCTCCACGTTTTATGGTCTTGTACCATTTTAATCAATCAGGTCTTTGAGTGCACTCTAGTATAGACGTGGGCTCCTGATCCTCATTCATTTCAGTTGCTACCTTATGCGCAAATATATTATCATTGATGTCGACATCTTTTCGGTTCTATTGTATTCTAGACATGATATAGTTTATAGAGATCTCTTTACACCTTCAGGACCTTGAGGTTTGGCGTCCCAAACCTCATTGATTGGTACCTTAGGGTTATGTCTATTAGCCGGCCATGTCTATGGTTTCTTGAACCTTCTCGGTTTCCCTTGCACCTTTCTTTGATTTCCGAGGGTTCTTGTCTTTGGAACCTTTTGGGTCTACCACGTTTCTTACGTGTTGTAGCCTCTGTAGCAACTTGATTGTGTTCCTTGTGAACATCAATACGTACTGGTGCATTACAAGCTGGTATGTACGATTTTGTTACTCTCTTTGGGTCATTATAGGAATCTTGGCAACTGTTTTAGCTAGCTTTTGCAGATATATAGTCTTTTGGATCTCTGATGGAGTCCGAGGATCTTGCCATGTGAAGGATGTTTGATTCCATATAAGTTCTTTGACCAGCTTGTTAGTCTCTCCACCCAGTGTTGGGAAAACGGATTCATTGAGATGACAATCCTTGTATCTGGCCTTTGGCTCGAGATACTTAATGATGGTGGGAGAATCATTTTTAACGTATATTCCCATCCCCTTTTGAGGTCCCATCATTTGCTCTCTGTGGTGGTGCTATGGGTAAATAGGTGACACACCCAAATGTCTTTAGATGGGAAACGTCTGGCTCATGACCCGTTAGCAATTGGGATGGAGAATATCTATGCTCACTAGATGGCCGAATGCATATTAGTTAAGCAGCGTGTAAAACTGCATGTCCCCAAGCTGAGACCGGAAGCTGCGACCTCATGAGTAATGGTCGAGCAATTAGTTGAATTCGTTTAATGAGGGATTCAGCTAATCCGTTATGGGTATGGACATGTGCCACAGGATGTTCCACACTTACCCCCATGGCCATACAATAGTCATTAAATGCTTGGGAAGTGAATTCACCAGCATTATCTAAACGTATGGTCTTAAGAGGAAAATCTGGAAAATAGGCTCGCAATCTGATGATTTGGGCCAATAACCTAACAAACGCTTGGTTCCTAGAAGACAAACATGCGACCAGCGGGTCGATGCATCGATTAAAACCATGAAGTACCGAAATGTTCCATAAGGTGGATGGATCGGACCACATATGTCTCCTTGAATTCGTTCCAGAAAATGTAAGGTCTCTTTAGACACTTTGACTGGTGAAGGTCGAGTGATAAGCTTCCCTTGTGAACAGGCTATGCACGTGTGGTGCTTAGGGAAAACTCGGTTTTCTTTAAGGGTGTGCCCTTTAGAACTTTGAATTAATTTACGCATCATATTCGAACCGGGCTGGCCAAGCCGGTCATGCCATTAGTGAATTTCTCAGTAAACCCTTTTGTTTACTTTATTAGCCTTTATCATATTGACCTTGGCATAGTAAAGATATATGACGCGGGTATAGTCTGTAAGACCTTCTCATGGTCTTGGATGCTCTTAGTAATATATGGGAATCCTTTGTTCCCTTCACCCTTAGTTTCAATGTGGAAACTATTCAAACACATTTCTTTGAAACTCAACAAGCCCCTTTGAGCTGGGTGAATATGAAGCATCTGAGGATGCGTGCCCTTGGGAATATGGGCCTGCCATGGGCCTACCCTTAGCCTTCACTAAATTTAGCTATACCCGCAATTTGGCTAATGAACCATGTCTTTAGATATTTCGTTTATTGAATTCTCATAATCATCTATCTCATGGTCGAAATCTTCTTCACCATCGTGATGAACTAAATGAGCTTCTTGATTCTTTTCAAACTCTCTTGATAGAGATCAACGAGATGCTTAGGTGTCATGCACGTCTTAGTCCAATGGTTTCCCCATTCCTCATCAGTGGCAAACAAGTTTATTTGAGTGTTGTGGTTTGGGTATACCGTGGCCTACCTCGATTACGACCAAAGTCGGGTCGGTGGCCTTAACCATATGAATGGTTTCCTTGATCATATAAATTATAATTTCCACTTCTACCATGTCCATTCCATTTACCATGACTGTGGCCATGATACTTATCTCTTTGGACGTGGTTAGACTCTTTAGTCTCTTTAGGCTCTTCAGCCCAACGGGCTTCTGATAATAGGGTAGGACCAGGAGGTCTCATTTCACTATTTATAACTCATTGTTTTGCTCAGCAAGTAGCAAAACAGGAGTTTAGACTTGCATATGTGGTAAAAACCTTTTTCACGATATTGTTGCTGAGGCAATATATTGTTTGTGTGAAAGGTCGAGAATGCTTTCTCTAGCAAGTCATTCTCAGTAACTTCCTCACCACGGAATCTCAGTATTGACACTATTTTAAATAGTGCTGAATTATACTCATTCATGGATTTGAATTCCTGGAATCTGAGATTCTTCCGATCGAATCGGGCTTTTGGGTAATAGCACCGTTCTTTGGTGGTTATATTGATTTTTTTTTTTTTTTTCAACTCTGTCCTGAGGTCCAGAGGATTCTTAATAGTGAGGTACTGATTTTGAGACTCTCATTGAGGTGATGGCGTATGTTAGTAATCGCCTTATATCTTTCTCTTCTGGTGACATTGTTTCCTTCCACAATAGATTCACCAAGCCCTTTTTCCTTTAGGACAATCTCAGTGTCCAAAGCCCATTGTAAATAATTGTCACCAGAGGCATTAAGTGCCGTGTATTCATAATAGTTGATTTCTGATATCTATAATATATAGAGTTAAATGAGAACTCATGTAATCGGTTAGACCAAGTCATGCGGTATTTAAGACCGAGCCATGCTTGTCTTCAGCAAGTGTTTTCTAAACAATCATGTTATATATATATGGATGAAATCAACCCTAGAAGATTGATCTAGTATGCAACAACCAAACAATGGGATCATACTAGATTAGGATATTAGGATTTCGCGGTTCAGTTTTAGGGTTTTAGCATCCGCGATTTATAGTACTAGGGTTTTTTTTTTTTTTTTTTGCTAGGATTTCGGTTTTATGTATGGAACTTTCTATTTATGGAATCTTTCCTTATATGGAACTTTCCATTTATGGAAACTTTCTATTTATGGGAAACTTGATCTTAAACCGTGACTTAGGGTTTATTAAACCGGTTTAACCTAGGATTTAGGGTTTCAGTTTACTTTCGGTTTAACCTAGGGTTTATATTAAAACATTCAATCTATCATGCCATTAAATATCTTTCCATTCACTAACTTCTCAATTAATTCTCCAATCATAAATCAAATCACATGTGCCAATTTTCATGCAAATTTTATCTTATCAAACTTTAATTGGATCATGTATATAAAGCATAATAAATAAATAGCACTTATCTTAATTGGAGAACTGAAACAGAGACCCGAGATCTGATACGGAGATTGGAAAACGTTATGTCTCTTAGCTGGTTGGGTCCTCCTACAAAATCTCAATATATATAATCCTGATTCCTGAGAAACTCAAAATTTTGCTCATGGAAACATGGCTATTACATTAGTAAAAAAAAAATAGGGTTTCTGTAATATACTGCATAAAACAGTTCAGAATCAATAACATATAATCCGTGCAAAATTCGTGCAGAAATACAGACAAAATTGATAACATATAATATGTGCAAAATTCGTGCAAAACTACAGACAGAATAGATAACAGATCATCTGTGCAAAATTCGTGCAGGAATACAAACAGAATTGATAACAGATAATCCGTGCAAAATTCGTGCAGAAACAAATATGAACAGAAAACTTATCTCGATAGAGTTTAGAATTTTGTTTTACAGAGACGGCTAGGGTTTTGGTTTTGGTTTTTGTGAGAGAGATTTAGGGTTTCGGGATTTTTAACTTTCAGGGTGAAAGGCTATCGTGTTGATAACGTGTTGTAAATTGTGTCTTTCATTAATAGGATGAGGGAATATATATACAAGGATAATAGCAGGATACAGAGAATAAGGTAAAACCCTAATGGGTCATGGGCCGGTTATGGAGTCCATCCATATAGTTTATAACACCCATATTTTTTTCACTCCTTTTTTCGTGAATTACTTTCCACAAGGAAATATGAGCCAACGAGGATAAAATTTTTTGCGAGTGGAATTGAACTATAAAGAATTCATGCTTTCCAAACCCTAAAGCCTGTTAATTCCTTTTTTTTTTGGTCGGCCATTTAGATTCATTGATATAGCCCAAATGGACAAGTTACAGAAAGCCCAGTATATAGAGGATTACAGCGAAAATAAAGCCCAGACCCTAACTAAATCTTAATTAAAGAAAATAAAATATTGAAGCACAAAAGATTTAGAAATTGACACGTGTGGGATATGTGATCTTCTCGAAGCTACGCGTCAAGCCGTGGAGCAGCATCGTCAACGTCGCCGGACATCGCTGGATCGCCGATTAGTCACCGCCGATCAGCTCTGAAGCAATGAGAATCCTCTTGCTTTCTGCCGATCTCAATTCCTAGCCAAACGTCAAGAAATCTCCGGATCGAATGAGAAAAATAGCTTCAAATTCATCCGAGCATCACTATCTCCGGGGAAGCTCCATCATTAGCCACACCCAACTTGATGTGGTCAGATCTTTGCTCTTTCTTCTTTGAGCAAAAGGAATTGATGAAGATATTACTCCTCGAAAAGATTGGAAGGATCGGAGAGAATTTTGAAGAAAAGCGGAGATAATAACGGGCTTAGAGAAAAGAGATCAAATCTCGCTAGTGCGAGAAGCAAAACCCGGACAGAGCCGGTACTGAGAATTCCGACAAAAGCCGGAAATTATTTAGTTCGTTCAAAAAACGAAAATATGTACAATTCCGGTGAAGTCCGAAATCAAAACCGAAAGAAAACTTCTCCACTCTGAAAGATTTAAGATGGATAAGGAATAGAAGCTTTTTAGAATTTCCGGTTAATAATTCCGGTACACCGGAAATCGCCTTCTCTCTCTGAGAGAGAAAGTTATTACAAAAGCCTGTTAATTCCAAACTCGAAAGTCCAAACTTTGACATAAAATTCAAAAATACTTTTCGACTTTACTCAAGTTTCCCCCACTAGAAACAAAAAAAAAACCTAGTGAGTGGAAGACAACTGCCAATTCTATCTCATGTATTAAAACGACAAAGCAATAAACGTCAAACGACATCTACACGACTTAGCTGTCTCAGCTCTTTTCTTAGCTTATGAGAGAAGAGCCTACAAGCATCCATGCTTAGATCCACCGCCGCTGCTAGTGCCACGTGCGCCGCCGCATCCTCCCTACAAGTCACGTGCTTCACACCTACCTCCACCTTAGGCTTGCTCTGTTTCTCCACTCCTTCCACCCTCGTCGACATCACAAACCCCAAGTTTTGTTGCGCTTGGGACAGTGAGAACCTGAAATCCGACCCGGATCCTGAATCAGTTCTTGATGATCTGATGCTTGACCAGGAAGAAAGATCGAAACTTCCTTCAGAGCTACTCAAAGAAGCAGTCCTAGTCGTAGTTGTAGCGGTGGATCCGTCAATGCTAAAACTCCCGCCAAATTTTGTGCTGATCGAGGATGAAGCAGAGACTGCAATGGCGATACCGTCTTTATAAAGCTCAAAACGGTAACCTAGAACGTCGGAGACGCCTGGCTCACGCCATGCTTGAAGGCGACCCCATGGCTTCCAGGTGTAGCCATCAGGTCTGAGGATTAGCCAAGCTCCAGGATTAGACCGAGACACGCGGTTGGAACCAGGAGATGGTACGAAAGGTGTGACCATTGAAGCCATAGCCACTGGTGAACCAGATAGATCATGGATCGTTATCGACCAACCTTTTCTCTCTTTTAAAAACTGTTCCTTTCCACTCGTCAACGACGATAAGCTGCAGAATTCAAACATCACACCATATTAGATATCATCATAAGGAATATACCTAAATTGTGCATAAATCCAAATTCCAAGAAAACTTAAGGAATCAGAGAATACCTAAACATAAATAGCAATGTTACAAGATTCTGTGGTTGGTTAAAAATCTATAATTGGTACTACTAATAAGAACCCTAAGTAAAAAGCAAAAGCTCTGTTTCTAATAAGCAACAAGATAAGTGAAAGTTTGATAATTTACTGACCTGAGACTAAGATTGCGGTCACCGGAGTTTCTGAACCCGAACTTGCAAGTGAAAACAGCTTGTTTTGTGTTTCCTTGAACTTGAAAAACCTGAGGACTACACTCAGGCTCGCCGTCAAATTGAAACACAAATCTCGGGTCGGGTTCAACCCGTACGCTAACGTGGAGCTCCGGATCCGACTCGGACTTCTTCTTATTTTTCGATTTAGTGCCCAAATCAACCCAGCCGTTGTGTGCGAAACACGTCTTCGTCTCCGCCGCCTTCAAATCAAGCGTAACCTCAAACCGACCAATCAGCTTCTCACCGGAAGCAGCGACGAATCCACACGACGCACCACCGCGAGAGTAAACCTCGACGGAGAGAACACTCCATTTGGGCTTCTTAAGAGACGTCTCAATCTGAGACTTGCTTAGACTAAAGCAAGCAGCGACGGTTGAGACGTTACCGGAGCAACACCGAGACTCTGACTCCGATTCGGTTCGTAACAGAACGGGAACAGAAACAATCTGGCGTGGGAAACTCTTGAATTTGATCTTACAATAGCAATTACCGGAGGATACATCCGAAACAGACGGTCCCGATGACGAAGACGATGACGACGATGACCTCGGAAACCTAACCGCCAAATTCCCGACGATGATACGTACGAAAGAGCACGGATCCATTGGATTCAATAAGATTGAATTATCGGTGAATGTTAATTAGAGAGAGCGTAAGAACAAAGGAACTCTTAACACTAACCCTAACAAGTTTAGGGTTTAAGAGAGAATTGGAGTGGAAGAAGAAGGGATTTTTGGAGAAAGCTATTAAAATGGAAGATTGATGAGAAATAAACAGGCTGGAATATAGCTGTGATTTTTTTTGTTAAGAAAGAAAAAATGGAAATTATGTGAAAGATTTTGTGGGGTCAAAAAGCCAAAACTCGCCTGTTAATTTCCAGATATGTAAATGAATTATAATATTCTCATAATGTTTATTTTTGTTTTAGAATGTATTGATTCTTACCCTTGAAATTTCAAGTGTTCTAATATATTTATTTCTTTACTCTTTTATATGATTTCTTAGTTAAAAAATGTTTAGGTTATTGCTGTTCTGTCTTCTAAAATTTTGATATAATTTCTGGAATTGTTTATGTGGTTTATTATATGGTAGTTTTTTTTTTTACATGAAACATATCAAATGATTCGATAGCAACATGTATATATTTTTGCTGGTCTTGAATTCTTAATGTACGTACATTTTTTGTTGTTGTTTTATTGACATTTTACACGTTTTATTTAATATATTTTACTTAGAAAACGATTGAAACTAGGAATGTCGTATATTGTAAGATCGAATATAGCTTTTTTGGCACTGATACTGAACTTACTTGTTTATATCTGAAAGGTCTTGTAAAATGCAGTGTTTTTTTAATGGAACAGTGGATAGAAAAAAGCCAAAGACCTTTTTGATTTGGAATGATTTAGGTTTGAATTTTGAAATTAGCTGATGGAAAATAGTTAGAAGTGGATAATTTATCTAGGGAAAATCACATTTTTAATCCTGAAAGTATAACTGGGTAACACTTTAAACCTCGAAAGAATTCTACTCACATTATAAACCACCAAGTTTATTTTACTAACACTTTAAACCTCCAAACTACCTTTTCTGTTTGCAAAGCTATACATGATGATGTAACAATCAATTTATCTTTGTTTAATATATATTTATTCAATTTAATTTAAATTTTAATTAATTTTTTTATTTATTACGATTTTGACGATAAAAAAAAAAAAAAAAAACATCATCTTCGACTATTCACCGTCCGACCATAATTTTTCAGATTTCTATTCAGTTCATTGTATGTGTTTACCATCTTTTTATTCAATTGGTATTATGAGATTCCAATTTATCCACTCGAGAGAGTGAAAACGCTTATGGATCAGTCTAGAAGATTGTTTCAATAGTTTAATAAGAAATTTCATGGTCGGACGGTGAGTAAACGAAGAAAATAAAGGTTTTTTTTGTTTTTTTAGATTTTATTAATTGTAATAAATAATAAAATTAAGTAAAATTTAAATTAAATTAAATTAATATATATTAAAGAAAGATAAATTGATTATTACATCATAATTTATGGCTTTGCAAACAGAAAAGCTAGTTTGGAGGTTTAAAGTGTTAGTAAAACAATCTTGGTGGTTTATAGTGTTAGTAGAATTCTTTGAAGATTTAAAGTGCTACCCAGTTACACTTTGAAAGTTAAAAATGTGATTTTCCCAATTTATCTATCTGTTTATCACTCAGATTTGATGAGATTGGTCCCAAAAGTTGGAGCACGCATGTATTTACTTGGCATCATTATCCTTTGCTAATAATAATACAGTATAATACAACTTAAGAAGCTACAAAAAAACTGCATAAAGATAAATACGTAAGTCTAAATTAATGTTGGCAAAGAGGTCTAAAACTCATAACAAAACATATATATTTCTTAATCTTTTTTGATGAGGTTATTTATCCTATATCGAATTGTTTATGTTTTTAGTTAATTTCTCTACTTAAAATGAGTTAATGATAAAAACAAATTGAGTAATTTTGTGTCATTTTAATCCGTTTATTTAACATACAGCAATGTGAAAAATAATGCCCAACGGGTAATACTTATGTCTATGGAATTGAGCAGTAGAGACAAACTTACGTTATTTTACAAGCGATGATTTTGTTAAAAGGTAAAGTGTGGAAAAGTTTATTAGAAATATATGTCAAAAAACAGAAATTTAAATTGATGAAGAAATGAAAACATTGAAGACCACAGTTAAATACAAGTAGTTAAATAATTGTAATTTAGAAAAGTAAGATACTATATCATTTAAATAGTTGAATTTCATTTATTTGAAATAGGTATAATTTCAGTTAATACTTAATATGATTAAATTACCAAGATTGTTAAAACTTAGGTTTTTCATAAAGTATACGACATATTGATTTCATAATGCAAAATTATATCTTTAGTCTGTTCGTTTGGTCGCCATAGGTAGTTGCGGCAGCGGCAAACGCATATGAAATTGTTCGTTTGGTCACCGCAGGTACCTGCGGCATAACGCTGCGTTCTGCGGATAAAAATTTTGGACGCTAATTAAAATCAGCGTCAAACGATTAAAAGTTGCGGCTGCCGCTGCCGCAGCTGCCTGCGGCGACAAAACGAACAACAGCCTGCGGTAATGTTTGCCGCCGCCGCTGCCGCTGCCGCCTGCGGCGACGAAACGAACAGAAAAATTATTGTTTTGAAAGTGACTCTCACCAAAGAAAAACTAGAATGTATTATTAAAAGAAAATTATCATTGGAGAAGTGAAAACATTGAAATATATGTCTGTCAAAATATCTATCTTTGAAAACAATCATATGGTGTCTATGATATTTTTTTTACTAGCCGCACCACCAGACCCGGATCAAAAATATTTTGGACCTTGTGTCTATTTAAAAAAAAATTCTGAAAAATGCACATACTATAAAAATTCAGAGCCTTATTTGCAAAAAATTTCTAAAATTTGGAATCCTTAAAACCTTATAAAAAACTGAAAAAAAAACTGTAAGACCTAATGCTATAGCCCTGTCAGCACCATTCCTAAGCCAGGCATACGCACCACACATTGGGACCTCTTTCGAGCCCGCCCAACTTTTGATAAATTATTAAATTGAAACAAATTTGTTTGGTTCAAATGTTATTTTCTGCTATATTTTTATCGTTTGGCTTACGATTAAAATTGACTTCTCACAAAAATAGAGTTTTTGATGGGTTGTCATACTTCAAACAGTTTGTGTTTTTTTTTTTTTTTCAACTGTCAGGTTTCCACCAAATTAGAATTCTTTTGCTCTTCTAGCCTATGAACCCAACTTTCCTTATCTTTATCGGTAATAGTCCCATGGTTGTTGCATAAGTTACCAACCCTTCCTCTTGGATTCTTTTTTAAAAATGTTACTTTAAGTTGTACTTTATTAATTTGGAGAGAAAAGAACACCAATATTTTTACCAACATCTTCTTCCGTTATTGGATTGCACGACGTTATCGACCCAAATCTTGGACACTGTCTGTTCACCAACCTTGATGTGTACGATGAAATAAAAAGATGATATAGCCTCCCACATTCGTCAATATAGGAAGGCTCGATCAAATACCCCATCGTAGTAAAAGTTTTCCCCACAACTCTTATGAAATTTTATTTTGGATGTGCTTCGTTTGATTTTAATACTTATTTTATCGTATACAATCATTGTGATTATCGTTGTAACAATGGAGAAACCCGAATTATTTTTTGGAGGAGCCATTTAGTTTTTCCTATACATATGAATAATACTTAACCTAAAAGGAAATCAAAAAGTTACCATTGGAGAAAAAAATAAATGATTTTCTATGATTATCAAATTTATTATTTTTAATAGTAGAAAAACAAATCTTCATCACATTTAACAATTCAAATCAAATTTCTAATATGACTCACATTTCAATATATTATATATCTATTACCATACAACTATTTTACAATTCTACTATCATTTGACATTTTTATTCAAAATTTGACTGATATTCAATATAAGTTTTTATATAGATATTATTCCTCTTATTTATTTAATTTGTTGACAAACTTAACCATATGCATTGATTTTTTTACCATTATTATTGTTCTTTTGATGACTACTAATTAAAATGAAACTATAGTTAATTATTTTCCTAAAATTTAATGATTATTTCAAACACTCTTTATCTTGCTTAAAAGCATAATTGAAAAGAATAATAAAGTGAAATGGCAATAAAAAAAAGTTATTTAAGAACATAGCAAAGTTATACCTTGAAAAAAAAAGGAAGCAAATTTATTACATTTTCTAGTGAACAAAAATGAGTTTTGGACTATTTTGGACAATTTGACCTATTTTATTTAAATGATATGAGATACGTGATTATTTTTTGTAACATGTTATTGCATGTAAAAATCTAATTTACTTATGTTGAGTAAGTGGTACAAAAATGTGATTATTTTATACGTATAAACCTAATTTACTAAATGAGTTTTTATTTCCGTCATATAAATTATATATCATTATTTACTAAACTGCATTGTGACCGTAAAATTAACCATTGACATGATTTTGTCACATAAAACATAAGAAAAAACGATTTTCATCACCAATAAATTAGGGAAAGATAAAACGATTTTCATCACCAATAAATTAGGGAATTTTTCTGAAGAACATATACAAATCCCAATTTTTCTGAAGAACATATACAAATCCCAATTTTATCATCACCAATAAAAGATAAAATCATCCATCAAAAGGTATTAGTCTATATGACCGGTTTGTGTAAACCGGAATCAAACCAGAAGTCTCTACTATATAAAGAGACTCTCATGTAACAGAAACTTTAAGTTGAATAACAAACTTTTTGGAAGAGGATTATTTTTCTGAAGAACATATACAAATCCCACCAAACCCCGAGCACCCAACGTTTCTCTTGGAAATTTTTTTTTTAATAGTCCATAACAATAAGTTTAATTATGCGTTTGTGTTTTTATGTACTCCTGAAACATTAATTTGATAACTCTTACAATTTCGAGGTAATATTTTTATACCAGTATAAAATTAAAATGTGTTGTAAAAAATAAAACAAAGATGATTGCTAACTTTTAGAGCTTTGTATTCCAGATTTAGTTTTTTGAACCGTTTTAAGTAATGAATCAGTGATAAAAAATAAATGATAATTTGTACTGTATTTTAAAGTTTTTTTTATAGACAACATAAGTTTAATTTTGCAAGGAAAATTATCATTTATTTTTTATCACTGATATTTTCCTAGTAAAAACCTTTCGGTTTATCCATTTATTTACCAAAGATAT